AGCCACAATTTTGTGTGTGTGTTCTTTTGGCTTTAATGGCCTTTTCAAATGTAATTTTATGAGTGAGACAGATACTTTGCCCTTTTGCCCTCAATTAAAGAACTGAACTGTGGTTAGGGCATCTTTTGGTTCAGACATACTGGCCAATAAACAAAATGCCTCCAAAAGAAAAGATTTGTAACAAGAAATTCTTTGAATACCAACTTGTTTGAAGGACACAAAACCAACAAGCATTGGGTAAAACTGACTTATTTTTTTCTGTGATAGCAGTTGTATTAATTAGTTTTAATTCATTGGATGGATTCCATCGATCAGGTAGATTTTACAAAATGATCATTCCAAGCTCAACCATGTGGTTCGGAAAACAAGAGGTTGAGGTAGACCTGGTTAGCATTTAGCTAAGAGATCACCAGGGAATGTTGTGGTCAAAAGTCAAAAGAAAACAATAGCCAACAATGAAATATTGTTCACAAGAAAACTAGATGAACATGTCCATGACATGAACAAGTCACTCAGCTTTGGGCCTGACTAAAGACAGTTGTTAATATTTAATTAAAAAATCATCAATAGTCCTAGAATGAATAGGGAAAGCACATTTGTGTACAAATACAGCAGTATCTAGACAAACAATCATGGGTGTCCTTTGTATTAGCCTTAATTCAGATAGATAGCTAGATAGGTAGGTAGATAGATAGATAGATAGATAGATAGATAGATAGATAGATAGATAGATAGATCTATGATAGACAGATAAGAGAGAGAGAGAGAGAGAGAGAGAGAGAGACAGACAGACAGACAGACAGACAAGGTAGGTAGGTAGGTAGGTAGGTAGATTTGTAATTAGTTTAGGTGATGATAAAAATCAAGACCATGTGACTCTTAAATATAGAGATTCAATCAAATCACTTTTTAAGACCAGAATGCTGAATTAAATTAAAGTTTTGAATTAAAACAGAGACATTAAGAACTCTGGGGGGAAATCAGGAGATTCAATGGACTTTTTAGTTTGCAGAATTACAAACTTACTGTTGCTCTCCTTTGGAATGCCATCAAAGCAGAATGAGGCCATTTAGTGCAATTAATCCTCTAAATCAATGGAAAAAAGGTAAAACAAAAATAGAAAGGAAAGGAATCTTTCTACAATAAATCATGTATTTATTAAATTTGTTTGCCATCCACATTGATGCAAGTTGAGATTATGTATAAAGGATCATGTAATCATATACAAAAAGTTTCCATGGCTTTTCCCCCCAACTGTTTGTCCATTAGTCCCAAAGGATTGGATCTCAGTTGTATATTAATCTTTAACTTCCTCTGAATATCCATTTAAATTTAGATTTTTCAAGCTTCTTTACTCATGCATGAGGATATCCTTTCCTGATACTTCTTTGTATCTTTTTTCTTTCTTTTTTATTTTTGTTTCACTTTTTTCCTTTCTTTCACTTTTAATTTTCCCTTTTATTTATTTGTTCTTCTTTTAGTTTTCCTATTTTTATTAATTTGCATTAGTTTTTACCTTCCTTTTTGATTTAATAAAATTATAAATATATCTTAAAAATTTGTATAAAAGAAAGGATCAAAAAATCTTATACTTCTCTCCTGATATTTTAAATATTAATCACCTAAACAAGGCTCTATTTCCAGTTATGGAAAGGTTTATAAATCTAGATATACTCATTTTTCATCGCCTTTATGTATTTTTTTTAAATTATGAAATTATGAAATTTGTCTATTTAAGACTTGTCCTGCTTATGAGAGAGCAGATACATTATTTTGCTTTTCCAATTAGCATTAAATAGTGAAAATTTGAAGTGTGTCTCTATCAAATTCAAACAAAAATCAACTACAGTATCTAGATTTGTGCCCTTGTTATGTGTTAACTTCTTACATTAGATTTTATCAGTTTTACTTTGGAAGGAAAGGGAAAAGAGAAGAGAAGAGAAGAGAAGAGAAGAGAAGAGAAGAGAAGAGAAGAGAAGAGAAGAGAAGAGAAGAGAAGAGAAGAGAAGAGA